GCATGCTGAGAAAGATAGCAGGATTTTCAATTTTCAGATGAAAGCAGCTCTATTCCCTGGCAGCCCTACTCCTAACCCCTTTAGGCCAGATCAAATTTTATCTGAAGCTAGCGGGTGCCTGTCTTTGACTTCAGTAGAAGTTGAATCAGGTTTTCTACATACCTGCAGTAAACAATTTGAAGCTTATCAATTAGAATATTTTTAATCAGTACTTATACCAGAGGGAATCTGGAGCAATTAACAGGATTTCTGGCCTTGGTTATTTACATATGCTTAGCTAAAAGACAACCCAGTTTTTACCAGAGAATAACATCCATCTAATTCAGCAGACTCACAGACTGGTTTAGATTATCAAAAGGAAAGTGCTATGCAAATTACACAAGTTTCCCCTGCACCTATAAGCAACATATTTTTAAATCTATTATATTAATTTGCACAAGTAAAATCTATGGTACTATTTCACGAGATCAGGATTAGTTTGCAACACACATCTCACCTTCGGCTCCACAGTTTTCCCACAGGAAAGAAGGTATTTTTCATCTTTAGACACTTTTGTTCTACATACAATCTGTAGCTCAATAAAAGTCTACATATAAGAGTATTTCTATATTTCATGAAGCTCTCAGATAAAAGCGTTATCTAATATTTTCAAATAGGTGTGCTTAATGACAGATGCCATCTAATCAGTCTCACCTAGATACGGAAGTGATGATCCCCTAACGGCACCAAAACTACTTGCACAGGAATTCTTGTTAAACTAAGGCCACAGGAAGGCACTTGATTTGGCCAACTATTTGAAGAGCTAACCCCCCAACTTTTATTCACATCTTCATGTAATTTCATTTGGACAGCTGTTTTTTCCCTAAACTAACTTATTAATATATGAAAACTGACATAAACTATTTCATCAAATCCTCTAAAAATATTGCCTTTCTAAAAATAAAGCTTTTATGATGAACTAACAGGAAATATATGAATGTATACATGCGAATATATGAACAAACAAGACCAAAGTTCTATTACTAGAAGTCTGCATTTGACAAAGATTCTACAAATAAAGCACTGCAGCTGCTTATATCATGTAAATGGTTGGCGCTGCGTTTTTGTACAGATTTTCTGTTCTTTCTGATAAAAATATTTTATTTCCTAGGAGAGCTCAGTATTTTGGATCTGAAATTTGTCTAGCAGTTTTATAAAGTAAGAATGAAACTACATTTGTTCTAGAAAGCCATAGTTTTTAATGCATGCAAAGCTGTAGAAGAATCAGAACTAATCTTAATGAGGAAAACTTTTATCAAGTGTAATTCTATCTGTTCCCACCCAAATGGGACTAATTTGTTCCATTATCTGTACAAATACCAGCTAGACACTTTGACTAAAGCCTCTGAAGCGTATTTGTTCAATTAATAACCATGCAAATGTACAACCACTCAATCACGCCAGAGGCTGCTCCCTAAGCATCTTAAAATCTTTCATGAAAAGTCTCATCAATCATCATTAAGGGACCTTTTTCTTGCCCCAGCCCCAGCCAACACCATGGACTAGGTGATGGGGTGGAAAGAGGAGGATAGGGACATACTTCTCCACTGTACTGCTGCTAAAGTCCAGCAGAAATAAGACTCGCACAGCTAACACAGGCTAATCCTTGTCATATCCCTGACTGTATTCCTTCATAATGAGGAGCTAAAGAGTCTTTCTTCAAATGAGGTTCCTTGGGAATTGGGGAAGCTAGCTGTTGGTGAGTCAAGGCATACAAGCTGAAGGAGCTATTCAATAATTCTTCTTCTTTTTCCTTTTTTTCTTTCTTTTTTTTTTTTTTTTACCTGAACAGCGACTTCAAGATTTGGCTCTATGGTATAACCTTACAAAGTTTTCTCAGCTTTCACTGTACTTATAGAGGACTTGGGAGCTCCTGGATCTTCCAAGAAGTACTCAGCATCTTGCAGATTCAGGTGCCTCATTAACAACTAGACAGACGTTTTCATATTAATAAATTGAATCTATAACCTAGGAAGTTAAAACAGAAAGCACATTTAACATCAAGTGTAATAGCATGTACGTAAATGCATGTAATAGCAGGTATGCAAAGCAGGCTCTCAGGCCAAGCAGAGTATGTGCAGATGACACCAATTTTTCTATGTATGTTCCAAAATATTTTTGTATTTGTTGAGATGAATAATCTGACAAATGTTCAAAACATACAGAGTAAGAATCCGATACTTGGTATTGTCAGGGCACTATACACCTTCTCCATTCATACATGCTTATAAGAAGAGAAAGTGGATCTTGCTACTTTCATTGTAGTAGCTCTGTGAAGACTTGTGATGTTGTTAGGCCCAATTCTGCTATGACAAACTTCAGCAGAGACAAAATCTGGTCTTTAAGAATGTATGTCAAGTACCTAAAATATCTAGGAGGGAAAATTCTGAAACACATAAACTTTGTTTTATTACATATCTGTTATGCAAATAACATTCACACATCACTAATTCGGAAGTCTAAATATATGAAAGTAGAAACTGAGAAGTTAGTAACAAGAAGTCAGTTAGAAACTTTCTCTAAAATCAAGTATCGACTTTGTGAAAGAAGATACAATAGTTACAAAGCCATTAAAACCATAATGCATTTTAAAATTGTTTTTATGTAGACTACTTATTTAACAAGAAGTGTATTATTCTTATTTTTCCCTTAGAACAAGGGAAGAACATAGGCAAGAATGTTGACTGTGCAATTGGGCCATACACTTCGGACTTAATGGACCTGGCTGTAGTTTGGGTAAGGTGCTGTAAAACCATCACAACACTCACAGTATAAGGAATTTCATATAACCATGTTCATTATATTTATTTCTATAGTTAGCAAAACAATATCCAACTAGGCTAAAATAAGGTCCACCCAGAGCTACAGAATGGTGGCTACCACCATCTCAGTTCTAAAGCAGACCCTCCTGGCTTATGGTCCTGAGTGGGTCAGGGACATCCCTGCCTGCCAGAGAAGCATCTGCAACAGTACTTTGTGGAATGACCAGTAACATATCCAGTAGAGCTTTGCACTTGTTTAGCACCTTATACAAAATTATCTTAAAGCACCTAAGATACAGAACTCTATACCACTCTAGAGTTAAGAAAAAACTGTAAATCTCCTATTTTACAAAACGAGGCAGAAAGAACCAAGAGGATGGACTCACACACCTCAGTGGTGGGGGAAGGAACAGCACTCAGGGCTGAACCGACTAATGCACTGCTAACATTACAATCACTTCAATTTTGCCAACTGCTTCTACAATTTCAAGCCATGCTGTCAGTGACAGGATCATTTTTTAAAATCAGTGATCAACAACAATAGCTTGATTTCTTTCATCTCGACAGGTCACAGGAATTACACAGATTTATCAAGGATTTATTCTTTCTCACTGTATATAGGAAGAAATCGAAAGTAAGTAAGATTGATTTTTTTTTTTCTCATTTTGACTTTTTTGAGCTGATGTCTGCTTTTGGAAAATAACAGAAATGAGTAAAGGTGGAGAGCACTCTAATATCTAAGCATGTAAAGAGTTCTAAGATGTAAACCTCTAATGCTCACTGCAGATACATACCTTCCCCAGTAGACATGCTAATAACATTAACATAATAAGCTATTAAGACCAAAAAAGTTACATGTCCTCACCTCTAAAAACTGGAGATGGTTTTCAAGACTTATCTATATGCATAGACATGGATATTCAGCCAGCGTACAACACAAACAGTCCCTACACAAACAAATCTATAATCTAAAGGACAATCCTGAAGACTGACTAGACAAACAGGTGTTTGCCAGGAAATAAAAGTTTTTGCTGTAGGTCACGCGCCACATTCCCGCAGAAGCGGTGGTTAGCTGAGGCCTCAGAACTGCCACGGAAGGCAGCAGCTGAGCTGCAGGGCAGGACATCTGGGAACCCGGCACGGTGACAGCTGTGGAGGAAGGACCATGGATGATTTCTTGTGGTCTCAAGACCAACATACCCCTTCCCCACTGTCATCCGCTATGAATCGCATCTTGGAGCGCACATATGAAGAGTTGCTGGCAGGAATCCTACCTTTAATAAATTTATGGTAGCGTGACACTGTCCTTTCCCTGAGATTATCTTTCACAAGTCATTGTTCAATTTCTCCCACTTTAGTTGCAGACGCTTTTCAGAAAGTGAGGAGCAGGCTGGGAGCACATACCCCGGTGTCAGCATGCCACTTCCAGCCTCTTTAAAGAGAGAAAACTAAAACCCTTTGGCTCAAAGTATCAGACTGAGATCTTTAAAGAAAAAAATAAAGAAATCGACAGAACAGTGCCACTTTGCGCCAAAACCCCCAGCAACCAGAACCCCCCGAATCAGACCAGCTGTAAAGAAGACGAGCGGACGTTTCGCTGGTTTGAAAAAGAAGAGCGGTGCCCGATAAGGAGCAGGAGGGCTCCGGCTCTCCCGGTGTTTACCTTCCCGGGCAGCCGGCGGCGGGGACGCCGCTGCACTTCAACAGGCTCTCCGTTACCCCCGCAGCCCCCACCGGGCGCTCCCCAGGCTCCGCGGCCCCCCACCCCCCCCTTCCCCGCTCCGCGCAGGGACGGGCCGGGGTGTCCGCGGACACCCGCCCGGCTCTGCCCGGCCGCGGCCGGCCCGCGCCCTCCCCTCCCCTCCTCCCTGTCCCCGCTCACCGTGCTGTGGCCGCCGTCGCGGGAGCGCGGAGGGCTGCGGGGGCCGGGCCGGGGGCCGGGCCGGGGGGGGGGCCGGGGCGGGGGCCGGGGCGGGGGCAGGGCGGCCGGGCTGGCAGAGGCGGCCCCGCGGCTCGGCCCCGCTGCTTCGGGCCGGCTCACACGTCAGCCCGCGCCACGAGACCCGGATCTGCCGGCTCCCGGCGGCGGCGGCGGGGCCGGGGCGGTGCCGAGCGGCTCCCGCCCCCCGCGCACGCCCCTCAGCCGCCCGGCCCGGCCCGGCCCGGCCCGGCCCGGCCCGCAGCGCGGCGGCCGCCACCCCGGCACCGAGGCTCGCGGGCCGCCCGCGTCCCGGCGGAGGCAGGCTTGGGCGCGACGCGGGCAGGAGGATACCCGGTAAACCCGGCGTGCCGGGCGGTGTAATTTTGCGGCCTTAAAATAACACCACCACCACACCCCCCGCCCCGGTAAGTGGGCGCTGAGAGGAGGCCGGGGGAGCCGGTCCTCTGGGGCCTGGCGTGCGTGCGGGTCTGCCGCAGCCCCGCCGTCAGCCGTCGCTTTGCCCCCCAGCCATCTCCTCCGAAGCATGAGGGAATTTACGGTGTAGTCTCTCACCTAGAAATCGAAAGCTGGTTTAGGAGCTCATGACTCACAAGGTTTCTCGGCAATTAACGCATCCCTCAAAATACGCGTTTAGGTGCGGTGGAATGAAGTTAGAGAAGAAAAATTTCAAATCATGGCTTCTCACGTCAGCCAGTCGGGTTTACCCGTGCCTACCCAAGGAGCTGGGATGTTGTGCTCCCATAGGGAAAGGTGGACCACATCCTGTCCTGGTGACAGTGGTACCATGCCATAAGGCAATGGGGATTACACAGGGAAGAAAATCTTGTCCTCTATTTCCAAGGGTGGCTTACCTCCTCCAAGCCAAAAGACAAGGATGGTGCTACAATTACAAGGAGAAAGGGAGGCTGGATGGAAGTTGCAAGTTCTCACAAGTCAGTACTTCCTCATGGCACCAGTGCTTCGTATCATCTGATATGGCCCACATATGGGGACAAGCTTGGCTGTTCCAGTCCCTCTTTGCTGTTGTCATGGGGCTTTCAAGCCTCCTTTCACAGCTACAGTTTTTTTCTGAAAGCTTTTTTCTAGCCCTGGGTGTCAAGCCTACATTACTCTGCCAAGTCTCGGGTGCATTGCCAGCTGGCAGCCTTGCACGTCCAGCCATCATTGGTGTGCAGAGCCACCTTTCCCTGCAAGACCCGCGCAGGCAGGCTAACTCTGCTCATTCAGAACTGGCCGTGGACATAACCATTCCGCTTCCTGAGAGGCAGCGTCTAGCCATGCCACACGCAGTCCCGACTTGCTGTGGATCTTGCCTCTCCCACGTTTCAGCCCATTCTCTCATGTCAGCACCCAGCTAGTGGCCATACTGAAAAGTGAATCGAGGCACTGACACAAAGACAGGCCATCACACAAAAAAAGCTAAACTATGCAGAGCTCACGTCATCTTGTCTTCCTCAATCCAGGGAACTGAATCTCTGATAAGGCACTAAGGACGCTAAAATTTATCTTTAATTTGGAAATATGAAAGTACATCCCTACAGTGTTTCCTGGGAGAACAGGTTTCTTGATGGCCTGTCCAGAAGTTTAGGGTGCAACAGGAACCATGAACATCAGCAACATGAAGATATGCTTGGCTTGAAGTATACTTTGGCTGTCCTGGCCAAACACAAAGCTATCCAAGACAATGGTGTCCGGGTCATATGCAGAATGATCGACAGGTAGCTGCACCCTTCCTCCCACCTCTCCCTTAGCCATCCTCCTAACTATTCCTCGGGGAACAGGCCATCCTAGAAGCAAACAGAGCTTCCCACCACCACTGAGCAGCCCCACCTGTCTCCCACACCTAGCACACAAGGTTAGTCATTGTTCTAGAAAATGGATCTGAGATCCTGAAATCCCAAAACCAGATACATCTTGGCACTAATCCTGGCTCAAACGAGAGCAGAGAAACAGCAACCACACAGTAGTGGAAAGGAAGGTTCCTCCTGTCAAGCTGAGGCAGGATCACTGAGCACTTTTATTTTCTTGCCTGTGGTTACAGCCAAACAGCCTACTGTTGTGAAGAGGATGGCAAGCATGTTTGGGGCAACTGTTGGAATTGAGAAAAGAGTCTCATAGTGATTGGTTCTTGGAGAACTGAATTTGAACAACCCTAGAACTGGAAGGTCAAGACTAAATGAGCCGGACAGGCAGTCTCAGATGCCTTGTCAAAAATAATAAGAACCTGTAAAGAGTCTGTCAAAGAGAAGCAGGAGCTGATGGGGATGATGACTGGGCGATCTACAAGAAAGCAGTATGCAATGACAGCACTTACAGCTAGAGCTGTGACGTCCTCCTCTCTTACTCTGAACCAAATGCAGCCCCCTCAAAACTCAGCACATCACATCTTTCTGGCTCATTTCTCACATCACCCCATCCAGGAAATCATATCATGTCTGGTAATCTCTTGAAATTGTCCCTTGATGAGGCGTGAAAGCAGCACTATCTGGCCGGCCAGCCAGCCCTCTGGGTGAGATGCAAGCACTCACACCAAGCAGCTCCCTCTCCCTACTCTTGTTTCTTCCCCCCATGTTGTTACTACAGAGTTCTGCGTATCTATAAATAGTTTTACGTAACTGGTCTCAGTAAAAAGATTAGCTTTTTTTTTTTTTAAATATTGTATTCTGCATTATTTGCATTGCCTTTTTGACAGCAAGATAGAAATTATTTTTCCAGTTATTTCTATTTGTTCGATATATATGTTTCCACTGGCGTTCTTGGGAATATTGGAAGCCAGTAGGCCTAATGAAGGATGGATTCACGAAAGGGTGATCCTCATGGCTGAAACTTCAGAGTATGAACTGTCAAAGAAGAGGGGCAGGCAATAGGAGCTACAGAAAGCAGAGACCAGGAACAAGAGAAACCATGCATAAGCTTATTGCTTTCAAATCAGCATGTACAGATACATAAGCAGAAAGCAGCTAGGTATTTTGCATAAAACATTCTGACAGAGCATCCCTCAGAATTTGGCCCTCGTGGTTCCCATGGGCAAATGAACAAGCCATAGCAGGCACTTATTCTATCTCAGCTTCCTACTCTCAGGCTTCAGCCATCTGCTCCCCCTTACACTCACAAATTTAGTGCACGATACAGCAGTAAAATGAGATCCTGATATGGAGGCTGTTTTCAGGCTCGCTCTATGAAGTCTCCTTTCTGGCAGTCAAACTATGGTGAAAACAGTGATGACTTAGGCTACTTTATGAACAAAGACATGAGATGCATTCGAGATCAGCTAGTAACAAGGACAGAATAATAAATCCATTAATTTTGGCACACTAGAAAAGAATTGTGCTGCCCACTGCCAAGCTAAAAACTATGAAAACAACTCTGCTGGAAGGGCAGAAGATGGTAATGTTCCTTCCATCAATAACCCTGTTACAATGGAGGAGGGTGGGAGCTGAGCAAAACTTACTATGGAATTCTTCACATCCGTCATCTGAAAGTAGCGTGGATTGGGCACTTTGTAAAGCAACAGGCAGATGTCACATTCCACATCACAGTGCTAGCTTTCAACTTTTCTACCCTAATAGGCAATGGAAAAGCAGGCGTGATTTTGGTGATCTAACTTGCCAAATAGTGGATGAGCTTGTTTACAGATACATAAGACCACTACTTTTCCCATTCTGAAGTTCTCCTGCTGATGTTCCTCTCATCTTTGCTGCATAACTCATGCCACTAGGAATTGTACTGCTCAAATCCAGATGCTCTGTGGAGCAGAAAGTCTTCATCTGCAATTCATGCAGTTTCATCAGATCTGAAAAATGACCTAGAAATGGGGCAAATCCTCTTAATCTAACTCCTTTTCCGTCTATTCCCTCTTTTCTTGTATGCAGTCCATAATGAGTAGATAATGCTATTTCCAGAAGGAATCTACATGAAATGCTACTACAAATTTTGATATTGAAGAGCCATTTGAAGATGTCTGCAGCATGGTCTGCAAAAGGCTTCCAGGGAGCAGAAAGGAAAAGATTATAAAGTACCATTGCAGTAGCAAGGTAGGAGTGGACTTTTGGCCACAACATTGGGTTTTTGGAAGGAGGGATCTAATTTTGGAAAAAGAAGCCAAGTCCTTAGAAAAGTTGCTCACAACCATTCCTAGAATTCAGCTGGGCTGGCATCTCACAAAGCACTGGAGAATTGCAAAGCACTTTGGGATACTAGGCAGCAAGCCTGTGAATTAGCTGGCACAAAGACTATATTGTGTACTTAGGTTAATTTAACAGAAATTTAGTCATGTGATTACCACTGAACCAAATTTACACTGCCAGATTTTCTGTCAGAGTACGGATACAAGCTTAATGATCATCCAACCACATCCTAAGCTGTCAGAACTAACAGGAAAATATATGGCTTGGTGGAAAGAAGAAACTTCACTGAAATTGTCAGAGGATCTACGGAGGGCTTTTGTGCTCCCGAAGCATCAACACGCCAACATAGATTTGAGATAAATAGCCACAGTCCAGGGGAAATGATCACAAAGGACTGCTGCAATGCTGCCAGATCACAGCTGACCAATCAAGTTTTCCAAACCAGGAAATGGAGGAAGGAAACCTGAAGTTGTGGGGATGACAAGGATTATTTTACACTTAATATCGACTAGTAACTTAGAATAACTATGAAATGCATGCAGGCCAAATGGGACACTTACAAGATCAGGCTTGCAAAAACCATTTTAAAATAGAGGATTAAGCTCTGAACCACTGAATTGTTAATGATAACTCTCACTGGTAAAGATATACCATCTAAAGTAGTCTGCAATGGATCTGTAGAATTGGAACAGTAAGTTCTCAGTAACCACACCAGTTAATGAAACAAAGGTCCACTAAATTTCATTGTGATTGATAATTATGCAGTCAGTGTCAGGAAGGTATTTCACAAATACTTTGGGAAATCCCCTCTAAAAATGCGGTCTAAGAGAACCAACACTGGTATAACCTTAACAAATTGTTTTTCCTCTGAGGCAGAAACCATAATAGCAGCTGCATGATTGTGGTGGCTTTCTTGCAAAGAAAAGATGAGAAACAGTGTGATCTGCTTCTTAAGCAACTGTAGTTCACAGCCATAAGCTATCTGCAGCCATACACTTACCAGCAGCTAACACTGCTATATTCATCTGAAAATTGCTGCCACTCGGGAAAAAGACATCTCATGTCACCCTCTAAGTTCAGAGCCATTTCAGCATTCAGTCTGAAACTGCATCTGAACATGAGTCAGAGCCCTCAACTGTTACAATTCTCACAGACTTTAAATAAAAATGAATCCCTGTTCATTTTCCAAGTGAACATCTAATAGAAGAAGCCATATCTAATAGATGAACCACAGGCACAAAATGCAAGCCAGTAGATTTGATGAATGTTAGTACAGAAGAAAACATGAGAGAAAGAAATGAAAATAAGATCCCAATGGATTTTTTTTTTTTTTTTTGAACTCTTTACTACATCTAACTAAGAAGCAGCAAGGAGTTAAACTTTTCTTGTCAGCAACTGGAAAATACTCTGAAATGGATATATGCAGTTTTGCAGTTGGTATTAACCACTCAGTATAGGACTGAAATTTAAGAGTAACCATTCATTAGATATCCAAGGCATTATTTACCAAGAAAAAAAGAGAGTACAAAGAGTGAAGACATTTCTTGCATCACCGCAGAGGTGTATCAAAAGGCATAACTCTGCTAGTCAGTCCTTGGAGATCAGTATTCTATCACATAAAACATGACAGCATCTCTGTATGGACTACAGAGAACTAAATCAAATTGTTGGAAAAGAATCTGATCTGTTATCACTGTAAGTGATACTCTGGTTTCTGTAGCACATTCAACCATGCTTTTCATTTTGGATCTTAGAACATGGGTATTGACAAGTGAACTAGAAATGGCTGCTTTCTCAGCTGGCCAGGATCTGTGTGAACATAATGCCAAGGGGTTTAGCTTGTGCACATTTGCTGTTTGAGGATGTGGCATGATGCAGCTGGATGTTTGCTGCAGTATGTCAAATCTGTTGAATAGAAGCAGTAAACCCTACAAGTGGTTCGGTATAAGAAAGAAAATTAGGATTTACAGAACTTGATAATACTGTCAAGTCAAGGAAAGAAAAAAAATCTGTAGTATTCAGCTCACACTTTACAGTTTACAAACTTTGCAAAAACACTGCACAGATTAAGGGAAACCATTTCAGAGTTCAAGAGTGTGAATTTACATTTTCAGTGTTTACATGGGTTCTTGTGGTTAATTTGTGTTAAGCTACTAAGGTCAAAATTGGACATAGATGTTGTCTTTAAAACTGGAGGTAACTACTGAAAAAAGAGATTGAAAGATTTTAAGCTAGTGCCATATTCTAGCACAAGTCCAACTCCTCTGTAAAGAAACTACTGAGGGAGCCAGGGTCTTCTCAGTGGTGCCCAGTGACAGAGCAAGAGCACTGGGCACAAACTGAAACACATGACATTGCAGTTGAATGTAAGAAAACATTTCTTTAGTCTGATGGTGGTTGAACACTGGTAGAGGTTGCCCAGAAAGGATGTGATGTCTCCAACCCTAGAGATATTCAACACCCAAACAGACATGGTCCTGCTGGGCAACCTGCTCTGGCTGACCCTGCTTTTACAGGGTGTTTGACTAGGTGATCTCAAGAGGTCCCTTCCAACCTCAACCATGCTGTGGTTCTGTGATACTGTGCCACTCAGGAGGGTACCCAGGAGTAGGTACATCTGCAGAGCACCTTCACCACAATTTAAGTGAGAGTAAAATTATCTGGGATGGGTGATACTAAAATACAGCGATAGTAAGACACCAAGAAATATCCGTGCAGAAAGACACTATATATATACACAGTGTTCAGTGTTAATATCTTTTATGTCTGCTCTCTGTTTGGGGAAGGGACCAACAGCATAATGTCACAACATTCCTAGGACTAAGAGAATCTGCAAAATCCCGAGAGACAATTGTACAGCATGACTGAATATGTCCCAGCGTGACTAACTTCTAATTGGGGAAAAGAAAGATACAGTCTAGAATACTGCCTTTTAAAAGGTGACAACTTCCAATTTACCATGTGATCTTTTGGCATTCTGTCAGGAAGATGGAAAAGCTATAACAGGAAACTTTATGAGATGGGTTATACTTCACTGAAACTGTTATAATTGCTACCTGTCATTTGAGAAAAACATACAAGACAAGAATCTCCTTACATCTAAACTAGATCTCCCACCTAAACAAAGGCATATGCTACTACTGAAAAGAAAGACACACAGAATAGTAGGGATTTTCTAGATGCTGTTCTGTGAAACATTGTGTGTCTGACAGAGATCCAAAAACCAGAGAAATTGCTTACTACTTCTGTGTTCAGGGGAACTGTGCATTACTCAGTACATTAACAGAACACTATTTGAGCCTTGTTTATTTAACCTGACTTTATCCCCAATGTTCTCTAATAACTTGCCAGATCCTATGTTCTTGCTAGCCACATGGCCAACGGGAGACAATTGGGTTAGGAAAATGACAAAATCAGCTTGTCTTAATTTGTATTCTTGAATTGGCCCTTACTGGTTTCTATGACTTCAAATGCAGTTCAAGTAACTTTTACACAACTGTGGACTAAACAGTGACTAGTGATTAGACTTAATGATTTAGACCTAAATTATTATTCTACTACAGTAAGATCAATAAAAAAGGGTGTCTTCCTAATACAAAATTGTTCTAGTCTCCAAAACGCACATATTTTAGGATGGTAGCAACAGCAATACAGCTTGATAAACTATCCATCTGTCATGGCTGAGCTCTTTCTGGATGATCTCTAACAAACTTCACTATTTTGTAAATTTTTATAGTAGACAGTTCCAAAAGACTTCCATCAGTTGTGGATTTGGTGCCCGTCATGACAGATTATAATGTAGTTTAGCAAGATGGCCATCATTAGAAATAAGTTCAAATTGTAGTTAGAATTTGCAAAAAGTCTCAGAATCCTGAAATTGCTAGATCAGGCAATAATAGTTGAAATCAAGAGCACCAGATTTATTTTTTTATTAAAAGGAATATTTTCATGCCTTTCAGGATCCCTGAAGCGTCTTGTGTTTAACAAAACAGACAGACAATTGAAGGGATTCATAACAATTCGATGATGCAAAGTATACTGGAGTATGTTTTCTCTGTGGTTTGGCTTCTAGGAGATCTATGATTTTACTGCATATATTCTTGTACTATACTGTGATTATTCATACACTTTTAATCCATATTCTCTTATAGCTGGAAACGTTTTTTGAGCTGGGACCACTTGTACACATTTGCCTGCAGGAGCTCGATCCTGCATATACCTCTCTGCAGCCTGTGTTGATGGCTCTATGGCTCAGGTTACATACATGCAGAGGAAAAGGAGTCCAGTCTCATCCTTTTCTCCTGAGAAGACACGGCAGTGATGTACGAGGACAGTTTGCAACATACACTCCCTGAATAAATGTTGTCTGTCTCCTCAAAGGAAACGGCAAGAAGCCAGGTAGAAGCATCCCGGAGATCCAAATTTGATCTGCATGCTGTCAGCTGGACCACTTCATACACAATGAGCTATGCAGCAGTTAGCTTATCTACTCTGTCAGAAATCTGAAACTATTTTAGCAATTAAAGACCACCACAAATGCTGTGCAATTAAGCTGTGACTGCATTTACTTTTTCTCTAACAGAAAGAGGTTTTCTTTTTTATTTATTCTGGATTCCTGTATTCATTCAATTAATGCTTCACAATAATTTGCCGTTCCAGTTCTAATTCTAAACTCAACTCTCCTAACAAGAGACTCTAAGTCCAGCCCCAAGCAATCACTCCAAAATATTCATTTTGTCTTTTCTTTTACTTACTTACTGCAGTTACCTACTTCCCTGGCTACCGTTGCACTGAACAACAAATTTAAGATTCCAGCTTCAAGGTCCTATATACTTCAGTCCTGATGTTTATGAAAAGAAGGTTTTCTGAACATCAGCCTGAATCTGATTTTAACCCCTATAGTCATTAAAATAGCAGGGATTGTTATTCAGTCACAAATCTTAAGGGCATGAGGACAAGATGATGTCCAGCTGGCCAGGAAAAGCTGTCCAGCTGTCCTTTTAAGGCAGCTCTAAGTCCCTTTTGTACCTATCTATGAAAGGAAGACTGCAATATTTAACTAAATAAAATTACATAGATTTGATAATGTACTATAAGTTATTACATCAATAGATGGTAATACAAAACACTTAAAAATGTACAAACACTTCACTCAGGGTAGAAAATGTTTCTGAGTGGAAAACAATATGCCAGCAATGTAGCATGGTGACTATACGTTTTATGTTATTGGGCAAATCCTCGCTTCCCTTATAACTCTAATACTCATAAAACTAATGATAGCCGTGTTAGGTTGTGAAATCTATATCTGTATTCCCAGCCTACTTTAATTTTGATAAGACCCTCAAAAAGACTGTGATCTTTTTGTAATAGGAAGAAAGGAGCACAGCTTTACACCTTCTCCTTTACAAGATATGCTTTTAGTTCCCTGTAATCAATTTGGCAATCTGCTGATGTCAAAATTTTCAAGGTAGATGCCCGCTCATTAAGAATATTAAGAAACCTGGGGCTTCCTGCAGAATTACAACTACCTCACAGTTGAACCTGCTTTTTTTTTCTTCCCTTTTATTTTTTTTCTGCCTTTCATGAACTCACAAGAAACAGCCCCTAGACCCCAAGGTGTTTCTACTATCAGTTGAATATCACTTCTCCACAAAGAAGCAGAAGTTTAAAAAAACCCAATAATTCTGCTAACAGACTTAAAAGCGTGGGGCTGTTTGTATCTAGATTTTCCTAGCAAAAACATCAGGTTTGAATGTAACGTTAATTTAGAAGATTTTACCAGGCCACCAAATTAATGAAAAGTCTAGGGTGTCCTGTCAACTTCTAACAAAAGCCCTTAGGAAGAGCAGAACAATAGGGTGTTATCATTAAACCCCCAAAAAATTCTGTACGTGCCTTGTTCGTTGAAAACTTTGCTAAATCTTGTTTAAGCCATGGCTTGATTGATGTAAAATCAATTGCTGAATTAATTTCTGATCCAAGTCAGATGAATTGCATCTATATGAATTCAAACTGAATGACCTCAGATGACTCTGATGCTTAGTTAGTACACTTGCTACCTTTTCAAGCACGTATATTCAAGCTGCTAATGCCATGAAAAATACAATTTGGAAAGTGCAGGCATCGTGAGTGAATACCTCTTCTCCCTACCAGGAACACCGACCAGTTTCCGTTCTGCTGTTTCAGGCATTTCTGCCTGCAGATCCCCTGCCAGTTCTTCCTCGACACCTTCGCAGGAGGGATGGGACCCGGCAGCCGTGAGCATCTTGCCAGGCCCGTCGCTCGTTGGCGGAGGGGCCCCGTGTCGCAGGATCGGGCCCATCTGCCCGGTTCCTCCCAGGAGAGGGCACTCCGACACCTGCCCGCGCCACCGGCACTGCCCGCCGAACAGGAAAGCGAGGGCCACAACGTACAACTCGGTCAACTTGCACAACCAGTTAGTTATTTTTATGATAAAGCTCATCTTCGGAATGAGTTGAGTCATCCCGACGCTGCCACAACAGGAACACAATACGACAGACAATAAAAGCGCAGGCTAAATTTATGTGTAGACTCTGAAATGTGATAAATGATATGCAGATAAAAAAGACAACTTCTGGCATGCAGGCCCCTCTGTTAAAAACTGGGATGACAGAAAGAGAGCTGTAGGTGTAAGTCTGGTGGAAAACGAGGGTTAAATTGAAAAATAACTTAGTTTTAGGACTATTACTTGCTGCCGATTTTTCTTTAAATGAAGCATTATTATAAATGAGCATTTGAAGATTTCAATGCAAAATGCATACCATCTAACAACAATACAAGCTGTAAAGTTAACCTTAGTATGGATGCCTCATGAAATAAAATAAGAATTAAAAATATGTTACAGGTTCAACCCCTGTTTCTAAAGTGTTTGAAATCAATATACATATGTCTTGAGACAGCTCCGCTCTCCAATAAGAAATCCTCCAGCAACAATGAGAAAAGATCAAGCCTGACATTTTTGATTTTTATAAACTAAAGAGGCCAAGATGAGAAGGGGGGGAAGTTTTGTTATGCAAGACACAAAGCAGCAAAAGAGGAACAGAACACATGCTGGAATGTTATAGTTTCAAAAATGGCATTTTCTTCCAATCACAGGGAACAATCTCAATAATTCCAAATTCTCTCTGAGTAATTCTAATACAAAAATGTCGTGTTGATATGAACAGAATAAAATTAGGAAAATATGGAAATGAAGAAAAGATCACCAAGAATCTGAACTTGAAAAACAGAAATGTAATCATACTTAGTGCTGTCATAAGCATCTTGGAGTCCTCAGGCAGTATACTGGGATTGCAGGGCATCCATAGTCTCAGACAGATGGACCACGCGCATGGTGACTGTACTGTATGTACAATTTATGCATGAACAATAGCCACTTTCCCATGAAAATGTGAGGAACTGTTGCCTATATATAGGTTGTAGGATAGGTAATATTTTCCATATTATATTGGAAATGCTAGTGTTTAGGATGTTTGGTTATCCTAGCATTAGCTAATGAATACTGGCAGCCTTTCCATACTGAGAGCTTGGGCTGAGGTCTTGCGACCACTGATCGATCCTTCCAGGCACTGCTGATCCTATAAACTTTCCTCCTGCAGTAATCTTCCATATTTTGAACTTCATTTAATAGACCATATTTCCTGCTCCCACTTCCAGAAGTATTTCAAATCAATATGCCAAACTTACTAAACAATATGTGGATACCCAGAATTGTATCTCAAACTCATATTAGTTATGATCAACACCAACAGGCAAAAGTATAGACCAATGTGCAGGCAGTTTGTGAAAGCTGCTATTGAAAGAACTGTTTTGTTATAAGGCTAAATTGATGATGGGATCGATGTAAGAACTATCTCCTGAAATGTGAAATACTACAAAATTTTGTAATTCAAAAAGTAAGCTGTGCTCATTGGACTACTGTTTTACATTTTGTGTATGGATTTTTCTAAGGGTGAAAGACTAATGAGAACTTAATTCAGAGGATAAGCACAGTACTATATTATCAACATACTATCAAATGTATTGTGAAGTCAGACACGGAAATCACTGAAACCACATGAAGAGGCTACGTTCTTATTTTTTCTAAGCATTTTCTTGTTTCACAAAAAAAAAAAACCTAAACAAACCCTAAACCAAACCAAAACCAAAACCCCAAACACCTGTTCAAAGACTGTTCTATCTATGGCCCTGTTCTGGCCTAAACCCCTGTAGTCTTCCGTAAAATAGTAAACTGTAGCAAAGAGTAAAACAGGAGGTATACAAGGATAACCCCAGCACACTGATTACATGACATACTGATTTTTATGCAGTATTTTAATCCTTGCAAAACTCACCATTACTCTGTTCTATCCCCCAAAAGCCTTTCTATATCTATCTTTTAACAAAGAGAAAATTAGCACAGTATATGGTGAATATGAAACAGCTATGAGGTAAGTGAAAGATGTCTATTTAAGGACAAAGGAAAGGAGTGGGGTATACTAAGGAAAAGAGATACAGTAATTAATATTAATTTGATTTGCTTTGTGTGGTAACAGACTCTGACATTTGTAATCCAAATGAGCACATGAAAATGAACCTAGATACAAACCAGGCAAAATCACTGCCCTTTACTGTGGCTGTTACTGGATGTCTACTACCTATTACATACAAGCATACTCACAGGAACACAAAGGATTCTGACACTTGATAAAGGTCATGTTTTCCACTCCATTCAGAGCAAAATCTGAATATTAGAAGCTCAGCTTCTTTCTATGAGATGTCTGAAAAGACATGAGACATTTAAACTGGAGATTTTATATACTACCTTCATAATTTTCACCTATAGTACTCAATAGGAGTTCAGCACACCATAAACCTAACTTTCATCTATGAGCTTTAAGAGGCAGAGTTATTACCTTTACTTTACAGGTGAGAGCCTAAGGCACAGACAAGCCAGAGCCTAACTGCTCAGAAGGAACTTCAGACACATTGGTGGGACTTGAATGCCTAAATTACTCTGCAAATGAAGGCCCAAGCTCACACTAGAAGACATTAAAAAGAAATCAGGCCTAATGCAAAATGGTTCTTCTCAAAAAGGTACTGAAAACCTCAACTGAAAGAAAAGCATTGTATCTTGCATTAAAAACAAGTTTCAGTGTGAAGACTTAATTAGATGAATAGATGCACATGGTACAATATTCTTGCAGGAACATGGACTTTTTCCAGTCAAACCACAGGGGAAGAGTAAACACACAGAAAAAGGACAGCATGCATCTGTATATACTTGTCAGATTTTTTTACTGATTGGGCCTCTTTACTGTGTATATAATAGTCAAAATGCTGTGTATACTAATGGAGATAAATAAACAGCACTTGAAATTGACAGCCATACCAAAATAGACATTTGTTGAGATAAATATCTATGTTGTACCTTGTCCTGTACTGCACTGTTAAGAGGAGGCACTTATAAAATCTTTCTATAGACCTTAATGTCTTATAGGCTCTGAATAGTAGTTCCTGAATAAACAACAGTTGTAAATGCAACCTCACATTCTACTCTGAAAATACATTTACGCTTTTCCATACCATACTGTATTTTGCGCACCTCAGGCTAGCAGGGATGGTTACTGGTATCCTATTTCAGTTTTCTAGACAGAGCAACATCTGTGGCTTTCCGTGTTTGGTTCTGCAATAAAATTTAACAGTCCATTAGACAGGACCGAAGTTCACCTTTTAGTCTACTTTTAAAATCTTGTAGCAGAATCCATAAAAAGAAACATTTCCTTACACTGCCTCCTCGGAGTCGCCTGCTCCTGGGCCTGCCGGGCCTGCAAGTTCCCCCGTCCCGTGTGTCTCCAAGGGAAGGGCGAGGGTGGGAAGAGGGCACGGAGCTGGGCCAGCAGGGATGTGTAAGGAACTGCAGCTTTCTCCAGAGAGCATGAAGTGGGAAAAAACAGCTGGGAACTTCTGTATAGGCAGGTTGAGCCGATTCTCAATGCACGTGAACCCCCTCCTGGTTATTTTTGCTCAGGGACCTCACCAGAAGACATGTCAGCTGCTCCCTGAGCCAGCTGTTTCCTCAGGGACACCTTAGACTTTTCCCTTGCTGCCTCGGACCCCTCCCCCGGCCCAGCCCTCTCTCCTTCACCCCCTTCCTCGGCCCGGCGCCTCAGGGCTCCCCCCGCTGCCCGCGGCGGGAGCCATGACAACGCAACGTCCTTAACTCTGCCCCGGGGCTCGCCGGCGGCGGTGGGGTGGCGGCCGCTCGCCCTCACGGTCCCGTCGGGCACACACCACACCACACCACACCCCCCCGCCCCGGCACATGACACGGCAAGCGGCGGCCGGCAGGCGGGCGGGCGTCTCCCGGGGCGGGCGGCAAGCGGGGCAAAACCCCCGCGCCGCCTGAGGAGACGGCCGGCATCCTTTCCGCGGGGGCAGTGGAGAGGAGGGAGGCCGGGAGCGCAAAGCCGTCACCACCGCCGCCACCGCCGCCGGCGGCAGCCAGCGCTCAGCCCTCATCGTCGGGGAACCCCGGTGCCCGCTCCGCTCCGCGCACACGGCGGCCCCTCCTGAGCGGCGGCGGCAAAGCCGGCTGCCCTAGCGCGCATGCTCGGCGCGGGCGCCATTTTGGTGGGGCCGGGAGTTATCCAGCGGGAGCGGCGGCGGAGCTCGCTGGGCCCGGCTCGGAGGCAGCGGCGAGTGGGTGCTCGCTGCGGAGATGGCTAACATCGCGGTGCAGAGGATCAAGCGGGAGTTCAAGGAGGTGCTGAAGAGCGAGGAGGTCAGAACCTCTTCCCCCACCCCCCCCCCTTCCTCCCTCCCTCCCGCCGCCACCCTTCCTTCCCCGTGTGTGTCTCTCCCGTGAGTGTGGGCAGCGGGGGAAGGTGCAGACGCCCCGCCGGCCTGCGCGGGGACCCCGCTTCCCCCTCGGCCCCACCTCCCCGCGCTGGGGGTGGGCCCGTCCCACGGCCTCGGGGAGGGGAATGGCGATTCCCGGGGAGACGGGACCCGCCAGCAGCCGGGAGGGAGGAGAGGAGGGGGCCGCGGAGCCCCTCCCCCAGCGGGCAGCGGAGCCTCCGGCGGCCCGTGGAAGCGGGGCCGGCGGGCCGGGCCTGGCACGGCCCAGGAAGTGTGGCGGCGGCGGCGGCGGGGGGCGCGGCCCGAGGAGGCCGGGCGGGCAGGCAGGCCCGCGGCCAGGGTCCCCCGCCGCCCGCGACGGGCGATGGCCGGGGACGCGCTGCCAGGCTGGAGGCTGCGGGGCGGGGTGGGGCCTGCCCGGCGTGGGGCGCCCCCGGCTCGCACCCTCCCGTGCCCCTCCCCTCGCGCGGCCGGGCCCACGCTCCTCTCCGGCGGCGGGGGGGGGGGGGGGGGGGGCTCGTCCGTGCGGGCCGGGAGGTGATGAAGCGCATCGGTGAGGCCGAGTTGGGAGGGTCCGTGGTCTCACACGTCCCCTTTAACTCACCCCTCCGGACAGCTGGTGCCAGAGGCTGCGGAGCATGGTTTCCATTTATTTTTTTTTTAAAAGGCTAGCAAGTAAATCCCTATTTATTTAGATTACTTTAATACAGAACTTCCTTTATCCCACTGCAGGCTTACTCACCTTCAGGTGGATGCTTTTAAAGCCTCATTCATTTCAGTCACGTTACCTCGTTTCCTGAACAGTATGTTCGGAGGTATGTGGTGGTCAGGAAGAGAAGCTGACTACTTACAGCGGGACATTAAAGAAGTTCTGATCAGTTTTGGGAGGGGATATATAGCAGCGTTTGCAGCATTGCATCAATACAGCTTTTGCTGTGTCTGTGTCTGAGCTGGTGGACGTCAGCCAGATAGTTTTTAATGGTTGTGTCGTCATTGTTGTCCTACTTGGGATGTTTGTTGCAGGTTAGATGCTTGTGAAATATTAATGTGAATATGTAACTCTTAAAGCTGGTGTCTTAGAAATCTGGACATATTCACATAGGAAAAATCGAGAGGATAATTTTTGAAAGATAAAAATGACTTAGGGAAAACATGTTTAGGGTAGCAGTAGTTGATGTACTTTTCAGTTAAGTGTGTGCTAACAGCATTGTTGCTATGCAGCTTAAACTAGCCCCCTAGAAAAATGTAAGGGCCTTGTTTTACAGCTGCCTTCAGAGCTCAGGCTGATTTCACCAAGCTATTGCACAGCAAATACAGAATTGCATGTAAACTGAGAGAAATTTCTAGGTGGATACCTTTATACCAGAGCTAGAAAATCTAGACCTTGTACCCCATATAACCAGCTGATATTGTGGGAACAAAGAAGTCTTTATTTGAAAGTGTTGTCTGGAGGCTTCAAGACCCTTTCCCTTTGCTTAATGTAGGAAAAAAGAAACCTTAACTTACATAGGTTTTTGGGGAGATCCATGCTAAATTTTCTTACTGTAAAGGTTGTATCTAGTGAGCACATTTTTCACTGTTCCTGTTTGTTTAGTCTGTGAATTGAAGGTCTCAGTACAGAATGTTGGAAATAAATAATATTATGAAATAGACTTTAAGCTGCCGAAAGCTTCCAAGAAATAAGACCACCATTCTTATGAAACTAAAAATGATGGAATTTTAAAATTACAGTAAGAAGAGTTCGGTATTTCTTCTTTTCCCTGCCATTAGCAAGCTGCATAGGAGACCGTGTATAAAATTGCTGTTTACAGAATATACTAACTCCCCTGTCTTGAATGCAAAATTTCAGCATTACTCAATGGTTGTCTAAGTTGCAAACAGAGTTTTATTTGTGAATGTTTGTACATTCAGAGGCAAACTGTGGTGTCAGCACCACTGATCATGAAAACATATGGACCAAGGTGGTGAATGGAGACATAACTAAATACAAATTACAGAGGAAAAAGATGTGTTTTTTTTTTTTTTTTTTTTCCATGTGATTTGTGCACTAAAATGATTATTAAACCTTGTTTCTTTAAAAAAACCAGATTTTTTTCATGAATGGTGATGCTGAATTTGTTACTTAGAAGTTTTAAGTCCCTCTCTGAAGGTAAAGTGGTTCACATGATCTGCACTTAAATTATTCGTGGTTTGATGCTTTGAGCTACACCTGAACATGAAGAGCAGACCCCCTATTTCCTTGCAGATGCTACTGAGCACAAGTGCCTGAGGGAGGGGACAGGCACACTTGGAAAAAGGATGTAGGAAGTTTGTTCTTTGTCTTCCAGAACTCACCTTTGGGCTGAAATAGTGGTGGAACCAGAAATGTTTTTAAAAGGGAGCAGCTGAATGGCACTTAATTCCTTCTGTATTTGAAGTATATATTGGAAGCACCAAATTTCACTTCTAAATATCAGTGAAGAAAGAGTTCTGAGAAGTGTGTTTATTCTTGCTATGGGTAAGGTTGTATGGATCCTTGGACAAGGATTCTATGGATCCTTGCTATCCATATGACTAAATATACTCTTCATTATTACTTAGCGCTGTTACCTTGACTTAAATTCCATTGCTGAGAAATCACTAAAATGTGAATCTTAGACTGTGTTGTTCTCTGGTTTACAGATAAGAGATGGAGGACATTTTTTTTTTTTTTTAAGTTGAGCCTGGGGCTTCTTGTGTATTTTAAAAAAGCATTTAAAGTCTTTTCATACTTTAGCAACAGAAGCGTCTTTGCTCTGCTTGCTTTATTATTTCTAGTTTTATTATAAGCCCTGTGCATTAACTTAAGTGGGATACTGTGTATTTAAGAGAGATCCTGGTATCCTTGCATCTCTAAATATTAGAATTAAATAGTTGAATCTAACAACAGTTTCTTTGTCAGGACTACTCTCCAAAGTGTGACTTAAATAAAACTTCTTACCTTTGTGTGTGGAAAAAGCTTTGTAGTTCTAAGGTAGATGAGTTATTACATCTTTAACAAAGATGAAACTTAATTTAATCTAGGTAGCAACTTGACTGGTTAAGTATGTGTTAAAGGTGCTGTACTGTGCTTGTATTAGAATTCTAAAATGGGTAAGCAGTACATTAAATCAGATCATACTCCAAATGCTAGTCTAGGCAAGGCATCAGTTGCTCAACTTTATCTCTCTTCTTCTTCTGTCATTTCATTATCTGTTACCTTGTTGATTTTATGGACCGAAATTCTAAAACTGCAAAACATATTTTGAAAAAAAGTATGAGGCTGCAGCATGATGGAGAAACCAATAAATAGGTGAAAGGAGAATAGTGTCCCACTTTTGATAAGTGGGAGAAGGCTTTGGTGAAGGTTAGCTGGTATTATTTCAGAATAGAGTTACTGGAATGCTGCAGTGGGTAGCCAAATCCCTACCTGTTCTCTGTTTATAAGCAGGTATCTTATGACAGGAAGAATCTGTCTGTCATTTAAAATTGAATAGAAACGTGCTGAAAATCTTGTAGTCGCTTAAAGACTGATGCTGAGAAGTGGTTGTAGTTCATCAGGTTTGTTTAACAATGTGTGACTTGTTTTCATATTTTAATAGAGCATTGTGTTATGCTTTTAAAGAAACTATATTATGCTAGTATTGAAGGATTCAATGTTTAATTGCCCACCCAGTTTCTTTTGTCATGTAGAAATGTAAGGTGTTTTTTGGCCATCTGTTAGTCAGAGGCTGATAGATACCTTACAGTGAAACTACTACTCTGGTACTGAAGGTAACACATTGGGAAACATAGCTTCCTCCTAGCAAGAGAGTTGCGGGTATCTCTACCACAAAATGTTCTTCTCTTACAAATATCAAGAGGCAGGGGTTTATCTGCATGGAAGGTAAATCCAGATAGAGCTGAGAATAAATTAAACTCAACTGCAGTTATGCAATATGAATAGCTGCATGAGCAGATACCTGAAGTAGCAGTTAAAATTTATAACTTGATTGAACCTAAAATAGCATTCAAGCAGAGAGAGTAGTTTAATGGCAAAATTTGAAGTACCAGGTTTCCAAGAAGGAAGTGGGTATTTGTTTTGGAGTCCATGTTATGACCTGGACTGGGAGTTGTAAAGGTTCTGTGATCCTCTCAGGTTAAATTAAGGTGAAACGACATCAAACGACCAGTTAAAATCTTTTACTTACAGTAGAAACAACTTAAACTTGGAAAAGGATAGTAAGCAATGTGATCTCTTATTGATAAATCCAAAAGAAAGGAAAGGAGATAAAAAGAGTCCAGATCGCCACTCCAGGTTCCAGTGTTATCTCAGGTCCAGAAATCTTGGGTGGTAGGAGCACACAGAGCAAAGTTTTCTCTCGCCTTTTAAGTTCATCTTTCTCAAAAGGCAGGTAGTTCATAAACTCATTTCCATGAGAGATGAGGAAAAGGTGGAGCATGAGTTCTGCACATGAATTGAGGGAAAATGGGGCGCACCAACCCCCTTGTCCAATTGAGTCGATGGTCATGCTTGCCTCCCCTTAATTTTTTCCTCAGCTTTTGCTTAGGTCCATCTGGTGCTGATTATTTATTTCTCTTATCAATTTTTGAACCTGAACATATGGTTTCACTCAGGCCATGTTTCCCCCTTTGAGGCTTATCTGAGGAGTTTGACAATACAACTGCAAGGGAGGGGGGACGTGTATCCTTCAATACACTCTGTGCTTCCTTGGGTGGCGTTCCTTAGACTAATCACAAAGGCCACAGTTTGTCCTTGAGGTTTTCTGTGTCGAGGAATGTTTGAACTGAATCCTTCAGTTCCTTACAGTCTGCTACATGTTTTTGTCATTTATAGGAGAAAGGGAGAAGGGAAAGATAATGGTAGTCTGCCTTACCATGTCCCTTCTTAGGCTTTTAGAGGTGTAGTGAGTAGCTCTGGTGTTT